TACTGAAACAAACTTGCGCTGCGTAAGAAGCTCAAGAATCTGCGCGCCAAATCTCAATAGCTTAGCTTCCATAGTTTCCGAGATCTCAGCGTTCATCCGGACAGACAGACAGACGGTCAAACGGACATGGATAGATTGACTCGGCTAGTGATCCTGATCAAGAATATATATACTTTATGTTATTGTTACTGTTACATACTTTCCGACGAATCTAGTATACCCTTTTACTCTAACGGGTATAATAAGTTTGAGAAATAGTAGCACTGGAATATCTACAATTATGGGCAAAGGAAACTGGAGTATTGTCGGGCACAAATAATGGAGTAGAAATACATATATTAAGTGCCGTTGCGTCGGATTAATCACTTTTGAATTTAGACAACATATCATACAGAAAGTTAGTCGAAATAGGGTTCGAAAAACTGGCTGTATGACCGGCAAACAACAGTAAGTGGAACTTATCTGAAGCGGTTCAGGCCTGCTGGGAAAAATCCAGGAACTCCAGGAGAGGAAAATTCAAAGATTATAAAATCCGGCTTTGACTGGACCAAAACGCTAGGGCGGGGTCGCTTGCTCGCTGAAATTAGATGAAGTCCCAAGAACGAAGGGTACGCAAAAACACGGCGGTGCTTTGCATTTTTTACGCGATGTGCGTGGGTGTTTATTTGGACACTTTGAAAATAGCACTGCTTAAGCTTAGCTTAATTCAGGCGATCCAAAGCGAAGACGTAAAGCCTTTTGGTGTGAACACTAATTAATCCATTTAGATTATATAATATCGGACGACTATATCATATAGCTGCCATTGGAACGATCGGAAAATTGGTGGGAAAATAATATGAAACAAATTATAGCTTCGGTGTTTTCTGACATATTATCTTATACTATTAGGAATGTCTTTTTTTGTATTTTTAAATTTAATAATTATAACTGCAAGGGTGTACAAACTTCGACTTTCCGAAGTTAGTCTAAAGTCAGCTGTTCGAGCTAAGTTGGGTGCGCCTTAATTTTTCTACGAAGCGTACCAAAAGTTTTATAAATTCTTTAGCAAATATCGGGCACTCCTTTCGGTTAAATTATGGAAAATCTTCGTCAAGGTATGTATAATATTGGTTAGAGGCCTTCCACTAGAAATGCTTTTGTTTCGTGCTGTACTTAATGTTTTATTGAACCATGTGTTATGTAGAAGCTAACCTATAAATATTTGTGTTTCGTGGAGTAGAACTAGCAAGAGTACGCAGGATTGCGAAAAGTGCAAATGTGGTAGTATGTGTTATTGTTTATGTGATTAAATGGAGTTAAACACTATTGCGCATACTTGGGCCATTTTAAAATGGATTCGGAAAAACTCCACATTAGTAATATCCATTTTAATAGCAATATCATGCGAGTCCCCAGCAAACGCGATAAAGTTCAAGCAATTTTGTGAAGAAACTCTTCTTTTGCACTTAAAGAAATATTCGTGGCATCCGACGGCAGCTACTGTTCACAAACTTTTGGTTCAAGGTGCTCAGATTATTGAATGTTCTGTACTTCCGGTCGCCTCCTTGGAGGAAAACGCGTCCGATGCTCGAAATAAGTTCTATAAACGTGATAGATTAATGCACCCTATAGTCGCGTTAATAACCTTACTGACGTGTTGCACAGAGCGTTATATTCTTCGGATCCCTTTTTATCACGCATCTAATCACAGCAAGGAAGAACGTTATAGTCCAGTACCTCGACTATCAGATACCCGTTACTCAGCTAAAGGGTCCAAAGGGAAATGGAGATATGCAAGCAGCAAAGCGAGATTAAATGCGCCACCTACCGGCGGTAGACAGATTTAAGGGTTATGGGCGTTAGAGTGGGCGTGGAAAATTTTTTTTGGATCAATCGATAGGTATTGACGAGAACAATACACTTCAGTTAAAATTTATATTCTAGCATCAAAACTATAGGAGCCACAGTTTTGGGCGGTTTGTGGGCGTTAGAGTGCTCAGGAAGAAGAAGCTCAGGAATCTGCATGCCAAATCCCAATAGCCTAGCTCTTATAGTTTCCGAGATCTCAGCGTTCGTCCGGACGGACAGACAGACGGACATGGCTAGATCGACTCGGCTAGTGATCCTGATCAAGAATATATATACTTTATGGGGTCGGAAACGCTTCCTTCTGACTGTTACATAATTTCCGACGAATCTAGTATTCCCTTTTACTCTAAGAGTAACGGGTATAATAACCAAAAGAAGCAATTGTGCTTTTGGAGGCACATCCTGTTGAAGCAGTAATTGATAACCCGCATTTCGAGTTCAAACAAAATTTAGATTTCGAGTTAAATACATATGATGAGTAAAATACAAAATATAACACGTAAAATGTATTTATATATGGGGTTGGGGCGGCTGACAGGATGTGGTCAAAAAAAAAAAAATAAAATCAAAAATTTTACATAGTATCAATATTATTGAAAAAAAAATGTAAATCCGTATCTTTAAAATTACATTAACGGCCGGAAATGGTTCATGTAAGCGTGGTCAAAATCAAAAAAGATAAAAATCAAAATTTTACAATGGTCGAAATATTATGTATAAAAAAATTGACATCCCTATCGTTAAAATTACGTTCACGGAAGGGGGTGGTTTCTGTGGGCGCGGTCAAAATCAAAAAATAATAAGAAAGAAAGTAAACTTCGGCTTGCCGAAGTTATTAAATTAATTATTAAATTTAAAAATAAAAAAAATAATATTCCCAATAGTATAAGATAATATGTCAAAAACACCAATTAAAAACGAAATTCAGAACTAATTAAAAAATGTTATTTCCAAGCGTAACCTCCTATGTTAAGAAACACCAACGATATAATTTTTTTAGATTTTTTTTCCGATTGTTTCTATTGGAGCTATAAGATACAGTTGCCGCATCGGGCTGGTTCCGACTTATACACTACCTAAAAAAGAAATAAGACTTTCTGGAAAGTTTCAACCTAATAGCTTTAAAACTGAGAGACTAGTTTGCATAGAAACGGACGGACAGACGGACATGGCTAGATCGACTCGTCTAGTGATGCTGACCAAGAATATATAACTTTATGGGCTTGGAAACGTCTCCTTCACTGCGTTGCAAGCTTCTGACTGAAATCAAAATACCCTCTGCAAGGGTATAATGAAAACCGAAATTTCACTATAGTCTCGCTATTATGTAAAAAAAAATTGAAATCCGTATCTTTAAAATTAAAGTTTATGCCAAAAAAAAAGGCAATTCATCCCAATGTGCATTGTAAGTCTTTAAAAACAGAAAAATAGAGTTTAAGAGAATATATTTACTGTAGAATATGCTTGATGAAACCACTAAAAAACACTCCAAGCCCCTATCTACTTGGTGACGTGGAAACAAGGAATGATTTAAGTTCATTTTAAGTGGCGTAGACAGCCCAGGTATTGGATATAGCCGTTCTATTCGCGTCATTTTCAATCTGGATTTCCTCAGGCAAAGCTGTGGGCGACCTTGCCAGTCTTATATAAAAAAACCTACAATATTTTTTGCCGAACTTATTACGTTATATACGTTATATTACGTTCTTTCGTTTATTTCCTGTGTCATTACATTTTGCATCTCGGTTCAGAATTTTCTCATATTTGTGCCCGTGATGCACACAGATGCCGATGACGCCTCCACTTTGGGTTAAGTCGAAGTCAGACAACTTTTATGACTTGCTCTCAAACTGGAGCGGAGCAGGAGCAGGAGCCGCAGAAGCAGGTGCAGGTCCAACGGCAACAGCAACGGTTATGTCAATGCTGTGCTTATGGTAACAGCAGCCACATCAGGACCATCGAACTTCGCTCCGCGTCACTCGCGTCACGCCAAGCTGTCAAGTTTGCATATACACATGGTGTACTCAATGTTGCTGTTTTCGCAAGTACACACAAACAAACGTTGAAGAACTTAAAAATATACGAATAAAAATTGGAAAAATATGCCCATGTGCTTTAATTAGTAACACACTTAAGTACAAATGAGAGCTGTAAATAACTGTGTTAACCAGAGACCCAGTCCTGGAAAATCAAACATGTCCAAGTGAGTCTTACTTTGTTCTTAAAAAGTATATATTTTAGATTCTCATTCTTCAGAAATTTTAAAACAGTTCAGATCCCTTTAACTTACGAAAAAAGAGAACTGGAAAATTAATTTGGTTAAACTTTATTATCGCAGTTCATTGGGGGTATATATTACCAATGAATGGCTGGGCACAATACTTTTATTCCTAATAGTAGTAATAATAATAAAACAAAACCACAAAGAACGCTAACTGTCGCAGGCCGAAGTTTATATACCCTAAGTCGTCAAATGTTTATAAGTTTGAAAACGACTTACTGAAATTGTATGAAACTAGTTTATCGGGATGTAACAGAAATCTCTTCCAACCAAATACCGTCCTAACGGCAAAATTCGGGGTCACAAAAAATTTTGGTTTGTTTTCAAGTATTATTATTATGGTATTACAATGGTATTTATGGTGTTATGGTATTTACAAGCCGATTACCAATTATTAAAAATTGTGGACAGCAGTCTGCGCAGTGACGAATTGCATAGGGAGTGTGCGTGAGGAGGTGTGTATATAAAGCCGTAAAATGTAAAGTCTGATATGACTGTCCGATCGAAATAGGTAAAGGTTGAAGAAAGGTTGCTTTAAATTTTGATACCTAGCATTTCAAATATTGATTGATTACTGAAAATTTTAGTGAAAGTATATAAAATTATATTGCAAAAATTGAAATGGTGCACATAGATGAAATCTAAAAAACCCACAGTTTAGAGATGTAGACTATCCAATTCGGAATGCAAGTAGAAAATCGCGACAAATTCCGATATCAGATGTTTTTAAATGGGTCGCCAGTCATGACTTTCATACCATGTTAAGAGCTTTCGTTTTATTTAATCCTCAAATAGCAAAAAGTTATTTGTCAATGGACTTAAAGCTTGCAACAATAAAAAAAAACCTCCCCGTAAGAAAATTTATGAATTTTACCACTTTATAAAGTTTTTTAATAGATTATAACCCTTAATTCTTGATCCCCAGTCCACATAATTACAATTGGAATAAAAAGAAAATAACAATAATAACTAGGCAAATTTGAATGTGGACGGTTTGAGTCAAACCGCAAACCAACAAATATTTATGTACGGTATCTACCTTATACGTTCTACATTTGCTTGGAGAAAAAAAAAACTCACCATGATAGAAAATGTTCAAATAACATTTGGAACAAGTAATTAAGATGAGTACTATACATTTTCTTTGTGTGTATATATTGTGATGCAGTCGAGTTACAATATTACTACTGAAAACTTGGCTGACTGGTGGGACATCGGCATCTCGTTTACTTGTCTGTTTCACTGGCAACATTTCTGCGTTGCTCACCAGAATTCCATTAAGAAACTCTGCCACGAATAGAGCTAATAATGTCGCAGCTTCTTGTTGTTTCGGCTTTACATCTTGATGGGCGGAGGACGACGTATCCCGGCTGGGTGTTCCTGGGGCACACAATCATTTCGATAAGGAAAATAGTGTGTGCACCTAAAAAGAAGAAAGTTTTAATTTGATGAGCGTACCGTTTGTTGATTCAACTATAAGTAATTTAAAACCTATACTGTCTTATAAATGTAATATAAGGAGCACAACACTTCTATACGTTATTCAAGCTTTAACCCTAATTATAGTTAAACATGCAAAAGAGAAATGTAAAGTTTATACAAATTGAAATCATTAAAAAGTTATAGCCAAAAATATTCAATATTTTTTCTAACATGATTTTTCTAAATACCACCGTTAAAATAATATACGCCAAATTTGTTTTTATATTCAAGGCTCTTACGATTTTGGTTTTATCCTCAGAGTGAACAGTCCTTGAGATTCGTCAACTTTTGACATACGATACGTTGTTGCAAAAAGTCACGTTTTGAAGTTAATAATCAAGAAGAACGGCCACATTTACCAGTTCAGAACAACTAACACTGCCTGAGAACTTAACTTTTTTCTTTCGAATTCAAACTTTTTATTTATGTCCTAAAAATTTTAAATGATGTTATACAGCTTAATATAAGAATCTTTAGTTCTACCTCTTTTGGAAAAACTTTCTAGTTTGGCGGGAAAACAGCTTTTTTTATTTTTTAAATACGACTTTGGTTACAACTTTAAACTGTATAGCCCTGGAGATTTCTCAACTTTGGACAACCTTGAATTTTGTATGTGCGTATCCAAACGCTATTTTAGGGTCATGGAATTATTTAAATTGCTATTGACAGTTTCGTATAAGAAACTTGAACTCTACGGCTTTTGGGAAAGTAGATTAATTATATAATTGATGTTTGAAAGAAAAACTTCTGATATCAAACTAAAACACCCCTAACCGAGGTAAAAATCTACTAACGATCGCACTTGCAACAAAAAAAAGTTCTGATATCAACTTTAGTGGCAAAAATGTATTATACAATCTACTAAACAAATACACTTTTATAAATTTTTTACATTCGGCACGCTGAATTCCTGTGTTTTTCTCATTCGACACGCTTTATCAAAATCGTACAGCTAAACACAGGCATTTTGAATTTCAGTGTGCCGAATGTAAAAAATTTAGATAAAGAATTTATTTAGTAGATGGTATAATACATTTTCTTCAAAAAAGTTGATATCAGAACTTTTGTTTGTTGAAGGTGCGATTTATAGATTTTTACCTCGTTATGTAGTGTTTTTGTTTGATTTCAGAATTACGAAAAAACTTTGAAAAAAATCAGACTAGCTGCCATAGGAAGGGATATTAAAATTAATGTCAACAAAATTTAAAAATAGTTTTATTTCGTTTTCGGCAAAACGTATACGCAAGTAAATTGAAATCTAACATTATCTTATATTTCTGTGAATATTTGTACCCGTTAGAGTAAAAGGGTATACTAGATTCGTCAAAAAGTATGTAACAGGTAGAATGAGGCGATTCCGACACTATAAAGTAGATATATTCTTGATCAGAATCAAGTCGATCTAGTCATGTCCGTCTGTCCGTCCGTTTCTACGCAAACTAGTCTCTCAGTTTTAAAGCTATCGGGCTGAAACTTTACCAAAAGTCTTCTTTCTTTCGCAGGTAGTATATAAGTCGGAGCCAACCGTATCGGAAAACTATATTATATAGCTACCATAGGAATTATCGGAAAAAAAAAATTATTTCCTTGGTGTTTTTATACCCGTTACTCGTAGAGATAAAGGGTATACTAGATTCGTCGGAAAGTATGTAACAGGCAGAAGGAAGCGTTTCCGACCCCATAAAGTATATATATTCTTGATCAGGATCACTAGCCGAGTCGATCTAGCCATGTCCGTCTGTCCGTCTGTCCGTCTGTCTGTCCGGATGAACGCTGAGATCTCGGAAACTATGGAAGCTAGGCTATTGAGATTTGGCGTGCAGATTCCTGAGCATCTTACGCAGCGCAAGTTTGTTTCAGTACAGTGCCACGCCCACTCTAACGCCCACAATCCGCCCAAAACTGTGGCTCCTACAGCTTTGATGCTAGAATAAAAATTTTAACTGAAATGTAATGTTCTTATCAATACCTATCGATTGACCCAAAGCCACGCCCACCCTAACGCCCATAAACCGCCCACAAACTTCAAAAAATCGTAAATATGAACGTGGATATCTCGGAAACTATCAAAGATAGAGAATTGGGATTTCAGATTTAGATTCCGTAGCCTTATACGCAGCGCAAGTTTGTCACGCGAATATGCCACGCCCACTCTAACGCCCACAAACCGCGAAAACCTGTGATGCCCACAATTTTTATGCTGAATAAAAAATTTTAACTGAAATGTATTGGTCTCGTCAATACCTATCGATTGGTCCACTCTAACGCCCAAAACGCTTAAATCTGTATACCGCCGGTAGGTGGCGCATTTTAATCTCGCTTTGCTACTTGCATATCTCTATTTAGCTGAGTAACGGGTATCTGATAGTCGAGATCCTCGACTATAGCGTTCTTCCTTGTTTAACATATAAACTCCTACGCTGGGAAATAACATTTTTTAATTAGTTCTGAGCTTCGAATTTAATTTTATCAAAATAGGAACGATCGGAAAATTGGTGGGAAAATAATATGAAACAAATTATAGCTTCGGTGTTTTTTAACATATAACCTCCTACGCTTGGAAATAACATTTTTTAATTAGTTCTGAGTTTCGAAATTGATTTGATCAAAATCAAACGACTATATCATATAGCTGCCATAGGAACGATGGGAAAATTGGTGGGTAAATAATATGAAACAAATTATAGCTTCGGTGTTTTTTGACATATTATCTTATACTATTGGGAATTTCGAATTAAATTTAATAATTATAACTGCAAGGGTATACAAACTTCGGCTTGCCGAAGTTAACTTCCTTTCTTGTTTTTATGTTGGTTTCATTAGAAGTTAATGAAATGATAAAAACAGTGTAACCATTTTGTTTTTAATATATATTTAATTTAAGTCAGGGGGAAATGAAATTAAAAACGGGGCTAGTTAAAGAGGGGGTATAAATAAATCGCTTTACCATTTATTATTAGTTTTTTTTTCAGTGTGCTTCTGATCGCCGTTTTGCGATTCCATCAATATGAAACTGGAAAGTACGCTCAGCCAAGAATTAAGGGCAAAAAGAGAGAAAAAAAAGAGATAAGTATACATATGTATTTATGAATGTATCACTCAGGCTGGCGCTGGAAGGCGCATGGCTTAGGTAAAATAGGAAAAACTGAATTGTTTAATATAAAACCTACAGACTCACTTTTGTTGGCTGGCTAGTTTTTCAATTTTTTTGCAATTAATTTAATCTATGATTTAATTTGAAAACACACTCACGACATTGTTTTTATCGAAATTTTCTATTCTGGGAAGACTGAAAAAAACGCGTTTCTGGTAATTTTTCGTTCTTTCTTCTTTCCTTCTTGCCGATTTGAAACCACGTGAATCACTGAAATTATTTTGGGTAGGTATGAGCAGCATAACTTCTGGAAACCCCTTAGGCACTGGGAGTTGGATGCATTGCTGGACGATCCACTTACCACTTTCCCTAACCGAGTAATCGAGGTTCGGAGGGTAGGAGAGGTGGGACTCTCTGGGAAACTTCTCGGCACTGGATGCTGGTCGTATTCATTTTAGTTGTTTCCAATTTCTCAAATGGAAGCGTTCCGGGAGTCAATTTGTCACTTTGGAAGGTAAGAGAGGCGTGACTCTCTGGGTTGGGAACTAGGTGTACCCTTGGTACACCTGGTGGATAACTTCGATACAGGTGCCAAGCTATTTGGGCCAAAAAAAATTAAAACAAAAATAAGCCATACGCTTTTGGCTGGTTTTTTTTGCTCTTACAGTTTCATACCTTGCGTTTATTCGTAGTAAGGGAGGTCTTTTAGTAAGTTGTATTTAAAAAAAATACCTTTATTTTTTGCTTTTAAGAAAACAACTGATTTTTTGGATTTCCTACCGAACTAGCGGGTTTTTTTCACAAGTCGTAGAACAAAAGTTTTCTATCTCGAGCTTCTTAATACATCCATAAAAGTCCGCAAGAGCCTAAAACTAAAAAGGGATTCATAGAAGCCACAAACAAAAGGAACAAACAATTCACATTGGAAAGTCCCACAAAATCTTGTTTTTGGAATAACTTTTGAGCATCGGATTTGAACAAGTAAGGTGTCTTTCGACGCGTATTTTTGGTAGGAATGACACCAAGTTAGTCTCCGGGGGCAATTATCCCCACCAGTTTTAACAGCTCAAATTTTCTAAGTTTTCACTTTAACACTTTCACCGCTCTTTCTCTCAAACCAATAAAAAAATTTTAAAGTCTTGGTATGCAATCTTCTTAGTTTTTGAGATACCTTTCGATTGGTGCATCATTCGTTACGATCAGACCAACACAGCAGATTTTCAATTCTGCGGCTATATATAGTCGGCTTCGCACACTCTCCTGATGCGTTTCGTCACTACGTGGACTACCGTCCACAGTGATTATTGTTTTGTTGTCTCTGGTTATGGCTTAAGTTTGACCATATACAACCGAGTTTGGCTCGTTATATTTTCTCTGTATAGTTGAGAAACTATTTGGAAAATGGGCTATGTTTATACTTTCGAGCTCTTAAACTATTACCATTGCATTTGGTAAGTCAGGTGGATTCATAGAAAATATAGTGCCCGAAACTTGGCCGTTAAGGCCGGTTATGAAAAGTGTAAGGGTTTTTGGTTCATTTCTGCTGTTATTTGGGTATTCCTACCATAAGTCATAATAGTTTTATTGATTAGTAGAGCTAATTTTCTCTTAACCGTTCTATAATAATCCAAATTTTATCTGACTTAATACACTCAATTCTTGTTCAATAAAATGGTGTTTCTTCCTAAGTTTTTGGTTCATCTCTGCTGTTATATGGGTATTCCTACCATAAGTCATAATAGTTTTATTGATTAGTAGAGCTAATTTTCTCTTAACCGTTCCATAATAATCCAAATTTTCCCTGACTTAATACACTCAATTCTGGCCAATGTGGCATCAAAATTTAAAACCTTACCATTATGAGTTACGGCATCATTTGTCATTCCTGTTATTTTACGAGTATTTCTCAATATTGATAAGGCAGAATAAAATATTTCGCTGCCTCTGGCATATTGCCCCATAGCTATTTCTGTTGATTCTTTCCAGCTGACGTATTTTACTTCCTTACCTCTATATTCCCTAACCGATTTGATGATCTCATAAGTTGTGTCGCATTACATTTTAGGATCGATAACCTCATTCTGATAAACTTTAACCTTTTTTACTTTCACAACTCGTCTTTTAATGGATCCAACTCGTAATTTACAATTTGTTTTATTAACTCTCCTCCGTTAAACATTGTATTATTTGTTACTGCAAGATTGTTTGTAGCTTCTAGAGGTTATTATTTATTCAAGCCTGGCTGGATGAAGGTTCTTGAGGTGTGTTCAATATGACAATTTTTTTCAAAACTGGAAATGAATTCTTCCACTTTGTTTTATTATTTCCCTTTTACAAAATTCTTACATAATAATAAAAAACAAGGAAGAACGCTATAGTCGAGTACCTCGACTATCAGATACCCGTTACTCAAAGGGAAATGGAGATATGCAAGCAGCAAAGCGAGATTAAAATGCGCCACCTACCGGCGGTAGACAGATTTAAGCGTTATGGGCGTTAGAGTGGGCGTGGCAAATTTGTTTTTGGATCAATCGATAGGTATTGACGACACCAATACATTTCAGTTAAAATTTTTTATCTAGCATGCAAATTGTGGGCGTCACAGGTTTTCGCGGTTTGTGGGCGTTTAAGTGGGCGTGGCAAACTTTTTTTAGGTCAATCGATAGGTATTGATGAGAACAATACATTTCAGTTAAAATTTTCTATCTAGCATAAAACTGTAGGAGTTACAGTTTCGGGCGGTTTGTGGGCGTTAGAGTGGGCGTGGCAGTCTACTGAAACAAACTTGCGCTGCGTAAGAAGCTCAGGAATCTTTACGCCAAATCTCAATAGCCTAGCTCTCATAGTTTCCGAGATCTCAGCGTTCATCCGGACAGACAGACGGACAGACGGACAGACGGACATGGCTAGATCGACTCGGCTAGTGATCCTGATCAAGAATATATATACTTTGTGGGGTCGGAAACGCTTCCTTCTGCCTGTTACATACTTTCCGACGAATCTAGTATACCCTTTTACTCTACGAGTAACGGGTATAATTATAATCGCTCACGATTTGACTCCTTTATTTTTCAACTTTTTTGTTTGGAGTCCTCCTTCTATTGATTGATGATCCTGTTTTGGTCCTTCTATTTCTGTTTTTCAATTTTAATATTTGGGTCTTTATTCTTTGTAAGTGCTTTTCAGTGGCGAAGGATTGGCCTTCACCCTGTTTTTGATTTATATTGTTATACCCCTTACTCGTAGATTAAAAGGGTATACTACATTCGTCGGAAAGTATGTAACAGGCAGAAGGAAGCGTTTCCGACCCCATAAAGTATATATATTCTTGATCAGGATCACAGTCGAGTCGATCTTGCCATGTCCGTCTGTCCGTCTGTCTATCCGTCCGGATGAACGCTGAGATCTCGGAAACTATAAGAACTAGGCTATTGGGATTGCCCGCCCAAAAACTGTGGCTCCTTCAGTTTTGATCCTAGAATAAAAATTGTAGCTGAAATGTATTGGCCTCGTCAATACTCGTACCTACACTCAGAAAAAAAATCATGTATTTCGTGCTTGAACCTAGTATTTTCGGTGTCAAAACTTCGCCAAGCATGGAAAATACAGAATGCGAGAACGAAATACTACTTTCGAGCACGAATTTTCAAGACGCAAAATTCTAGATTTAAGAACCTTTCGGTCTTGAATCTAGTATGAATAATTCTTAAATCAAGCCATATTTGGACTAAAAACAAGAACGATTTAATAATAAAGTAAAAAGTTGCAGGCATGATTTAAGGACGAATAATTGTTAAATCAGTATATAAATATTATGAAATTAAAATGAGTTTTTATTTTATGCTAGTAAGAGAAATATGTATTGGAAACTGAAACGAAATAATCGGGATATATATAAATAATAATAATATTTTAAGTTTACTTACGACTTGCCGTTCACGGCCATTAAAACTGTCTAATTTATGCGCCTTATATACCGAGTACTTTCAGAATAAACAGTTGGGAATTATTAGAGTTGGCAGACATTAAAAATCCAAAAAGTGCTCAATATGAGAATTTTTTGAGCACGAACGTTCTTAAATGTTAAGCATGCCATTTTTCTTAAATCAAGGGTGTTTGTACTTGTTTTTAGCACGGTGTTTTTCCCTGAGTGTATCGATTGATTCAAAAAAAAGTTTGCCACGCCCACTCTAACTCCCATATCGCCTAAATCTGTTTACCGCCCACATAACCATATATTGAGATCACGGGTAGGTGGCGCATTTTAATCTCGTTTTGCTGCTTGCATATCGCCATTTCCCTTTGGTCCCTTTAGGTGAGTAACGGGTATCTGATAGTCGGGGTACTCGACTATAGCGTTATTCCTTGTTTTTATCTAGCATGAACATTGTGGGCGTGGCATTTTCGGGTAACAAACTTGCGCTGCGTACAAGGTTACGGAATCTTATTCTGAAATCCCAATAATCTATCTTTGATAGTTTGCGATATTTGCGATTTTTTGAAGTTTGTTGACGGATTGTGGACGTTAAAGGGGGCGTGGAAAACTTTTTTTGGGTCAGTCGATAGATATTGATGAGAACAATACTTTTCAGTTAAAATTTGTATTCTAGTGGCCACAATTTTAGTCGGTTTGTGGGCGTGAGAGTGCGCTGCGTAAGAAGCTCAGGAAGTTGCATGCCAAGTCCCAATAGCCTAGCTCTTATAGTTCCCGAGATCTCAGCGTTCATCCGGACGGACAGACAGACGGACATGGCTAGATCGACTCGGCTGTGATCCTGATCAAGAACATATATACTTTATGGGGTCGGAAACGCTTCCTTCTGCCTATTGCATACTTTCCTACGAATCTGGTATACCCTTTTACTCTACGAGTAACGGGTATAAAAGCAACGGAACATACAACTATGGTCGTACGCAGATTCCTTTTGCGAAGTTATTCCATACGTATCCGCATCAATCACTTCGAGCCTGTTACATATGCTCTCCCCATGTAAGGATTCACATAGAGATGCAACGACGAGTCTTTAGTCGAGGGAAGGGGTGCATTTGACTAAACAGAATCTGACTGGTAGAAGAAGAAAATGCAATTCGGCACTTCACGGATATCGTGTGGAACACGGCACAGAACAACGGCCACGATCGATCTACTGGTAATCATACCCCGGCAGCTGGCAAAGTGCAACAACAGGCCTTTTACTTCCAAAATAGCGAACACCTAGTTAATCCGATCCATGCCGGCAGCCAAGTAAAAGCTCCAGTATGATATAAAGACCTTAGCCGATTAAAGACGAGAGGAGAACCCATTCTGGTGCCTTGCTGACGGAAGCCAGCTCCTAGGAAAGGCCATTTTCCCATGGGCTTGGGCATCCGCCCACGAAGTCTACGCCACCAGGACCAGCTACCCTATCCAACTGTCCTGTAAAAGGACCCGGAGAGCATTTTAAAAGAATCTTATGAGTCGGACCACCGCTGACAGTGTAATCAAAGAACGTGGAGCGGATCAACCATAAGAACGACATACTCTGATGTTTGTGGCCGCAATACTCGTGATCCCCATGCTCCCAAAAATTGTTAAGTTGTAAGAAATGTGCTAATCGAGCCAATCAAAAGTGACCTTGTACATAACCAAAAGCCGATAGCCCCCATACAAAACAATTGGAGAACAAGTGAAAATCAAAACATTGGAAACATCAAAAATGCCTTAAAATACATTTGAATAAAATGAATAGATAGCCAAAGTC